CAAAGAGGGAGCCGAGGGCAGAGCTGCGCGCGGGAGAGGCGCTGGCCGCAGCGCAGGAGTTCTGTGCCTGTGAATTTCTGTTCGGAGGGAAGAACTTTTTCACTGTTGAGGTTTTTTTAATCTGCACCCAATTATTTAAGGCCCTTTCTGTTTTTATTTGTGAAACAATCTGGCTGTGGTGCTGCCACACCTCGTTCTGTTGTACACTTCCAATCAATACTTTTTTCAAACTAAAAGCCAAGAAAATGTAGCTGTACTTTTGGTCCTTGTTCTTTCTGGAGGCGGGGGGTGAGGAAGGTGGGGTGGGGAGGAGAATGTCCATCCCCGGGGGCACTGCGGGGATGCATCTGCAGCTCAAAGCAGCAGTGGGCTTCTGCCATGCGGTCGCAGAGCGCCCGCCCTTGCTGCCATGCTTGGGGCCGCTGTCCCTCTCTACCCGGGACGACTCAGCCAAGGACAGCCTTGCACCGAGCAGCAGACAAGTCTCTGGAGATGCTCTGCATCTCCTGGTGGGACAGGGTGCCAGTCACCCTCCTGAGCTCACCTGCCTGCAGCATGCTGCGCTCCATTAGCCTCTTCGAGGTGCGGCCAGGGGCAGCCCCTCCCTGGCGGGGGCTGTAAAGCCTATGCAGTACCTGCCGGTGCTGCAGCCGCTCCATGGGCTGTCAACCACTGATGGAAAGGTCGGCGGCTGCTCCCTGCTGCTGCGCCCCTTCACCTTCTGCCTGGCTTGGTGTGGGGCACAGGGAAGCAGGGGTGAGGTTTGCAGGCCAGGTCACCTGGCACAATGTCCTCCGGCTGCTCTGGGGTGCCTGTGGCACCAGGGAGCACCCTTGGCAATGCCGCTTCGAAGCTGAACTCCACCCTCCGGGTCCTGGCAGTTCGGTCAGCCTGTGCCTCACCAGCCTGGACGGGCGCATCTCCCGTCCTCTTCGAGCCCCTCCCCTGGTGGCCCTGAGCTTAAGCCCCTGTGTGTAGTGGCTCTGCAGTGATGATGTGTCCAGACCTCAACTGGTTTGGTCCCCGGATCATCAAAGCGGGGCTCCCATGGGGTCCCGTGGCGGGTTTGGGGTTTTGGAGACACAAACACACAGGAGCTGCTGTTGGACTTGCTGCTCAAGCTGGTGGCTCCTGTGCTCAGAAGCTCCCTGCATGAGCTGCTGCGTTCCCCTGGAATGGCGCTGCCTGAGTAAAGCACCCAAGGAGAAATTTTTCCTTTGCAAGGTGGGTTTCTTCGGGTTTGTCTCGCTAAACAGGCTGAATTATCACAGGAGTTGCTTCCTCCAGTGAAAGCATTTGCTGTTTCCAAAGCCTCTCCGATCCTCACACATCTCTTTTAGAATGGGGACAGTAACGATGCTGTGGAGCCTCACGCAGAAGGGTAAATCCTGGGCAGAGTGCCCAGAGCTGCAGTGCCCTGGCAGGCTGAGCCGAGAGGCAGCGGCGCTTGGTGGAGTCCGAATTGTCCTGAGCCTGCTGACTCGTTCCTGCAGCCAGGCATCGGTCTTGAGGGGGTTTGGCTTTAAACTTTCCTCCTGGGTGTTAAAGGAAGCTTTTGATAGAGGCCTTAGCACCAGTGTCTGTGGGTCCCCTGAAGTGACTGGTTAGCGGTGATCTCGCGTTAGTCATTGGTATTGAGATGTAACTGGTCTGGACTGTTTATTGGGTGCTCTGTTGATGTTTTATCATGCCAGTTTTTCACAGAATCACAGAATCGTAAGGGTTGGAAGGGACCTCAGGAGATCATCTAGTCCAACCCCCCTGATTTTAATCAGAATGCTCTGTGGTGTGCTATGTGCTGTACCAAAGGCCTCTATATCGGCAGTTATTTTCATTAACCTAGTGAAGCTGCTCAAAGAAGAGAATCAGGAGGTTTGCTAAGCCTGCCCGGCAGGGTATGTGGCGAGATCCCCACAAAGGCAAAGGAGCTGAGGAGCCACACCAGGGAGCCAGCAAAAGAAAAAGGATCACCACAAAGTGACCTTTCCTGGTGTTTTCCCGGGTGTGGGCTCTTTCCCCTGCATGTGCAGGAGCGTGGGTCTGAGCGCCAGCAAAGGGAGAGCAGCGTGGGTGCATGCGGGGGGGACACACGCACCTCTAGGGGTCCTTGCCAGCAGATGTCAGGAGGGACTTGCTGGGGAGCAGGCAAAGAGGTTTGGGAGCCAGGTTTTGGTGTGGCCGGGGACATACCCTGGAGAGGGTGGAGGTCTGAGCGGCGGTCACCAAAGGCACCAGGAAGCCCAGGCTGTTCAGCGACGTGGTGAGCTCGGCTGCAGACGCAAAGGAGGCACAAAGAAACAAGCACAGGAGGAGTAATCGGATTGCTAACCTGACCCAGCTCCTCCCAGACCCAGCAGAAGAGAAGTGCCAGCCCCTCAAAGGCCAACGTCCAAAAATCCAGAAGGACAAAGAGGTACAAGAGCAGGTTGGGGGGGGACTCAGACTACAGAACGCCCCCTCCTCGGCCTCTCCCAAGCCCATCCCAGGAGAACCATCAGCCCCACGGTCTGGGTGTGGAACCCATCACCACACGTCATCGGGAGCTCTCTGGTCACCTTGTGAGCACAGAAGGGTGGTGGCTGTGCAGGGGCGTGGGACGCATTATTGGATGCAGGGAAAGA